TGATAAAGGCAGGGATGTGGAAGAAGCCTAGGGAGACAATGATCTGCAGAGATCTTTAGGATTAGTTTTTGTGCTTGCCCAAAGTCATTTGCATGGGATTTGAGGGACCTATAAAAACTAGAATAGGTAAGATCCATACTCTGTGGGGTTTCATTGGCAGAGCCTCCCTGAAATGGCTTGGGGCAAGTTCCATAAGAGAATTAAGCAAGCATTGTTTGGACTTCCTAACTCTAAGTCAGACAGAGGCTTGGAATAGAAATCCTTGCCCCTTGTGAGCAAAAAGTTAAGGCTAAAACGAAAAACCGCACAATGTCAATGGTCTAATACTTAGATGGCTGTTTTGTGCTCCAAAAGAGCTTGTAGTCAGGGGACGAGAAAATTCCTTTTGGAGAGGGAAAGCTGATAATGACCAAGATTCTGAGGGCATATTTTTCTTATGTGAAAGAAAGTAGTTAAGAGTTTTTCCCCTACTCTGATATTTGTTGTATGAAGGGCTTGCCTCCCTAAAAGAGCTAAAGTTTAAGCCTCTGGGCTCTAAGCCAGAAGGAACATGGTAGAGCTCACTCTTCCTCACATGGAGAAGAAATAGCACCTCAGCAGAGGACTCCAATTAAAATCAAAAGTTGGAAACAATTTCCACAGATATATGCCCTGCAGAGCCACACCAGGCACCTACAAAGGGGTCAGTGGAGCATGTTCCTGTATGGATCAGGAGACTGGTAAGGAGCAAGTCCTGTGAGAGACCGTACATCTCCCAAGACCAGGAGGGAGCTAGCCCAGAGGAAGCAGTATCATGACATCAATAGAAAATGGTCTTACAGTTTTGAAGGTATAAATTGCCCCTTTACATATATGCGTTTTAGCCATACATTCACTCTAGATATATGTCCCCCTAGCCATATTCCCTAAGTATGCCCACTCTTCCCACTGATGGTGCATGCATTTGTGGGAGAATGTGGATCAAGTTTAATTTGGTCTTTGGATTGACTAGTAAAAAAAAACCCACAGAGGCTCATAAGCTATGTATTTTGAGTAGATTTGGACCCCCAGAGTATTTTGAAGATAATGTAGTTTGGGAGAACCTATATTTGAATGGAAGTGTGCCCCCACGTGCAATACAAAGTTTAGATAAAACACTTTCTCTACTCTTGTGGAGCTCACAGTTTAGTAGGATTGATATGACCCCTACACAAATAGTTAAAAAACACTATATTATATGATAAATACATATGAGTGCCATGTGAGATCACTACTGACAGGGAAATCGGGTAAAACTTCCTAGAGAAGGTAACATTTGAGTTGGGTTCTAAAGGCTAGGTAAGAATTAAACAGGTAAATTATGAAAAGGGCATTTCAGAAACAGAAAAAAGTGTGAATACTAGTGTGTGTGGAGTGGGGTGTTTCAAGGATAGAGTAGGCTAGTTTGGTCAGTGTACTTTGTGGAAGGGAAACAATATGACAAAGATTCCTTTATATAAGAATATGTCATAAATTCTTCTTTCAGTTTAGCTCCAGGAAAAATCTTTGATGATGAATGTTTGTTTCTATCATCAGGGAATAAAAATGCTGTAGCCAAATGGATTCCATTTTTCCTTTAGGTGGCAGAAAATTAATTTTAATACGTTGATCTGTAATCTCGTTCATCTGAGTAATTGTGCTGACTGCAGCCCAGCTATACCTTCTTGTCCTGTGCAACTCTCGTCCATGTCCTCTTTTAGATATTTCCAGAGGAAGTTCATCCATTTTCTCAAGTCTTCTTTCAGATCAGAAAACTTAAATCTATTTTTTTTGCCTGTTATGGTCTAGTCATTTGGGGTGCCCATAAAGTATTTATTCCTGCTTCTTCTGTTATGTCTTATCTTTTCTGTTATCTTATTGTCTCTTCTTAGACTTGATTTTAATCTGCAAGTTGGCAGGACATTGGCAAGCTAAAAAATGGGTAGGGGGTGGGGTTTGAAACCATGACATAGGATGTTCAGTAGAAAGGTATGGGGATGTTTAGCTTACTTACATAAAATAAAGCTTAAAGAGGGCCAGGTTATTATTTTTTAATTTTCCCCCAAAGGATAGAGGGAAAAGAAGGGATTACAGTTGCCTTCAAACATTTGAAAGGCTGTCATGTGAGAGGCATTCGACTTGCTCTGCCTGGCCTCTAAGGGTAGAACTAGGAACAACGGGTAAAAGCTGCAGACATGCTTAGCTGATGTAAGGCAAACCTTACTAATAATCAGAATTTGTCTGAGTGCAACACACTCATTCCAGAGGCAGTGAGTTTCCTGCATCACTGGGGGTCTTCCACAGAGACTGAAACACTGTATGTTAATGATGTTATACAAGGGATTCCTGTTAAAGCATAGATTGGATGAAATACTTGGTCTTTTCAAATTGTGAGATTTTATGAAGTAGGTAGTATCTAAATCTTATATAAACATAAACCATTTTCCCACTGGACTCCAAAGTGAAAGCTAAGGTCTTGTTTTCAGCTGTCAGATCTTGGTCTCTTCTACTTTTTACACATGCTTTTAATTAGTTTTTAAAATTATTTTAAATTTTAACTAATTTTAAAATTAATTTTAATTAGACTTCTTATTTCATAGAATAAGACTTTTCACTGGACTAATGCTTGTTACCAGGAAGCCGTTGGAGGAAACATATGCTAGCTCTGGCCATGTGTCTTATCTCCTAGGACTGGGGTGCTCATGGCTCATTTTCCCTGCAAATTTACTTCCCCAAAAGGTAGCCAATCATAGAATCATAGGTCTTAAAACTGTGGGGTACCTGAAGAAATCATTACTTGCTTGCAGGCAGATAAAAGATGAGGAAATTGAGGTTCAGAGATATTAACTATTTTGCCCAAGATCATATTGCTAAGAAGTGGGGAAATTAGAACATAGATATTTTTTCAATATTGTACTCTCTTGTTGGAAATATGCTTCCCAAGCATATTTGGCACCTATAATTTTAAAGTTGTAAGGGACACCTTGGCAGACAGTCCCCATGAAGAATTCCCCCACAGCATCTCTGATAGGTAGTCATCCAGCCTTTGTTCCAACTTTTTCAGTGAGTGGGACTTGGTATTATTCGTTTGATGACCATTTTTTTTTTTTTTTGGCCAAGACCTATGATTTCTTTGATGCTGTTGGTAAGAAGACTCCTTCTGTCAATGCAACTGTTTTGCAACTTACACTCTTTGTTTGGGACCCTGTGGTTAAATGATTTGCCCAGGCTCACATGGATGGCAGAGGCTAGGGCTTGCCACCCTGCTTTGTTCCTTTAGGCTAATCACAATGAGATTACACAGTTCTTGCCCACCAACTGATTATTATTATTGTTGTTGTTTTTTTTGTTATTGGGGAAGTCAGAAGGGAAGGGTAGGCTGGCAAGAGGAAGGGCAAGACGGTGACAGGTTAGAGATGGAGGTCCTTCCTGAAGCGGTGGGAAGCAGATGGCCTGAGTTTATGTAGCCCTACACAGATTTAAACACCTATCTTGCCGAAGTCACCAACCACTGTTAAGTCTAGATTATTAGATGCTCTCTAGCCTTATTTCTCATTCCTTCTAGTTACACTATACCCAGAAGCCTTTGTTTCCCCCACCAGTTTTCCAGGCCTCACCACGCACAGCTTCTCTTTACACTTAAAACTAAACTACTCACTGCTCCCTGATTGACCTTGGCCTGCTCTCTTTCACCACCATTCTTAGGAGCACTAGCCTTCATGCCTGCTAGAGTCTCCTTCCACTTCTATGAAATCATCTTTTTTTCTTTGAGGTTTTACTCAAGTACAATCTTCTTCATTGCCACATCACCCCTCAGCTATATGTGCACTTTTCTTCCTCAAATCTCTCATGACTCTGCATGGACCTCTTCAGTAAACTTATATTATAATTTGCATTATGGCTATCTATATTTCTTATCCTTCCTGCTAGGCTGAGCTCTTTAGGGACAAGGAGTGTCCTGTTTAACCTCTGTATTCCCAAAGTTATGTGTGTGTAGTGGATGCTTATTAGTTTTGCAATTGGAACAGTTCACAACAAAACTAATCTATAAGACTTAAACATTCAAAACATTTTATGTTTCTTTCTTCTCTAAAATTTGGACGAATTTAAGAGATAATGTGAAAATGAAAAAGCACTGATCCTAATCCCACACATCTTCAATTTCTCTCCCAAAGCTGTACACACTGTCTCGATCATGTATCATTCGGTCAAGCACTGCCAATCAGTAAGAATACCTAAGCTCTACTTTTAGCTTAATTACCTTAATGTGGGATCTGAAGCAAATTTACTTCATCTTCCAGGCCTTAGCTCCACTAGAAAATGAAAGAGGCAGGGGGGCATACTCATTTTGTTGGAAAAGTAGTAGACTAGGGGTGTGGTATATTGCATACAATGTCAAACCCAGTGCCTCTTTTGCTCTTTTGGTTGATTTTACTTAAATGTTTTTCTTAGAAAGTGAGGCTCAGGGGGATGTCATATATCTGGAAATAACTTATGTAATACAGAAGGCATCAATAAAGCTTTAAAAAATAAAATTAAAATGAATGGGTTGCTTTGATTGGAGAATGTCAAACAAACTGATACATGAAAGATGCACTGTAAGAAATAATGAATAGAAGAAATTCAATGAAACATCTGGAGACATTAGCAGAAACTAATGCAGTAAGAAATAAGCAGAACCAGGAAAACAATATGTATGGCTACGACATTATAAACAAAAACAGTGAGTACTGTGCAATTATAACTCACTTTGGTCCTAAGGGATTAGAAAATGAACCTCCTTCCATCCTGTTAGAGAGGTAAAAAGATAAGACACTGTGCGTATAAATTATTGCATATGTTCTCAAATGCCATTGATACATTGGTTTGCTTAACTTTTTTTGTTTACAAGGGAAGAATAACTGGGGAGAGCAACAGGAGCAGAGAGAGATATATCCAAAAATCATTAATGTAAAAACAAAAGACACCAACAAAATGTTTAAAAGTAAATAAAAATGAAGGCATTTGATTAGATGATTTCTACTTTATCAAGGATCAAAAGTGTTTTCCAGAACTAATGAACACTGAACAAGTCTAATGACTTAGGATGTATTGCCCAATAGTACAGTACTATAAAAGCTCTGGTCTTCATTTCTTTCTCACTCTGATCTCCAACTCAGGTCTGGCTGAGCCCCATCATGGACAGCAATCCCAGGCTCCAACAAGTAAAAATCAGTAAAATTTGTGTTCCCAGTTCTCTTCTCCTCTCTTCCCAAATCATCCACATTGCCTCTACTAGACAGATTGCAGCTACACATTTCCATCCACAGCAAATGAAATGGGGATTAAGCCTCAGTAATGGAAGCAGCAATAGTAATTTATGAAAGAAAAAGCATGTGAAAATTATACAAAGGCACACATCGGGGAAAAGAAAGGGAAGGCTAGTCTAAGAATCATAAAACATCAAAGCCTTTTTGTTTTGGAGGGAACACGATATGCATTTAAGAAAAAAAGTGGAAGACTGACCCAACAACACAATTTTTGTATTGACATTTGAGTTCTTAATAATACATCAAATGCTTTCTGTCCTTAGAACACTGCAACCAGGATTGAAGCAGGAATGAGGTCACACACTGCCAAAAATTTCCTATGGGAACCAGAAGTTGGTGATGAAAGAGATAAACACGTTGACTTCTCTTCTTGATTTACAAGCAGTGAGTTTTTTCAAGGCAGAGGTGGAGAATGGATGGTGCTTTGGTAATTGTGGGGATGGGCAGATAATTCCAGCTGATCTTCCAACCCATTAGAGGATTCCTAAGCTCCAGAACTGGATGAAAACTGATGATCTTGGTTCAGCTCTATAAGGATGCTCAGGCTGGGATGTTACATTTTTATGGCCTTCACATGAACATGTCATCATAGCCTGGGGGTGGGAGATGATCTGGACTGGGTCTGTAATGAAAATAGCAGTGGTGAATTTGGGGAGGAGGAGGGATTGATAGTTCCTTGAGTGACCAGAAGTCATAAGAGCAAAAGATCATAAGATTATAGGATTAGAGCTGGAAGAGACCTTTTAAAGGCCATATATTCTAACTTTTTCATTTCACAGTTAAAGAGACTTGAGGCCCAGAGAGTTATAATGACTTAGCCAAGGTCACACAGGTAAGAAATAGCAGAGTCAGAATTTGAACCCAGGTCCCCTGACTCCAGATTTAGTACTTTCTCCATAACAGTTCACATACTAAGGGAAGGAACCTTCTCATTTATCCATAGTTACCCCTGGCTTATGCCCGTCATGGGAAAAGTATCGGGGAAAGCTCCACAAAGTCTAGAGGTAAGCTTTTGACACTGGAGGTAGGCTGTGCAGGGCTGAATAGAAATGAGAGGAACAGAACAGGCTGCCTTTGATTGCACACTACTCCGTGATCAAATCCAGGGGCCCAATTCTCCTGCCATTTAAGGTAAGGCACTCATTAAATACTTACCCGGATGGACTAGTTCCAATGGGGCCAAAAGGATCAAATCGAGCTCCTGGAGGAACAGCGCCTGGAGGAAGCCGGTTGGGGAGTCCGGAAGATGGGTCAATGAGAGCTCTTGGGAAACCAGATCTCAGGGGGTCCAAAATCATACCACCTCTCTGACCCCTGAAGCAAGAAAGAAATAAGGGTGAGCAGTGGGCAAAGGTAAAGGGTAGGGAAAGATGTTGCCATTTTGTTCCTATCTTGTTGGACAGACAGGAAGTTTGGCTGTGATAGGCAAAGATGAGATGCAAATATGGCTGGACAACTACATACCAATAAAGTGGTAAGTGTAGAAGAGCACACCCTATTGATTGAAATATGAATCTGGCTCTGAATTTGTGTCCTCAGTCCTGAAGGGCAAATCCAATTCTGTAAGGCTACATGAGTCAACAGTAACATAAACAAAAAGAATCACCTCTATATTCTAGAACAAGGGTGTTCAATGCACCTAAAGGTAGGAGTCAGAAATTCACCAGTGTCATCAGCAAAGGGCCACAATCAATTTTTGAATGAGTATGAAAAATGTTCTATCTACTTTTGGTTCATTAGATTGCCCTCGTGTGTTGCCACATTGTCATATTTTATGCCTTCTGAAGAACACAGCATTACTAAACCACAGCATCAATATAACTCAAAATGGCAATTTATTTCTTTTTCATGTTTGCATTAGGATCTGCACTGTAAGCTCTGAAGATCCACATCTGGTCCTAAAATGGGAAATTGGCCACCACAACTCTGGTTCATCTGCCTTACGCAATTCCATATATGTGAACTTTCAGAGGAGGGGAGACTGAAACTTACGTTTCCAAACTTGCATGCAGAGCCACTAGGTCCCCCACACCCCACGCCCCATCTTTTTTCCCTAGAAAGAGATCCCAAAGTTGGCATCAACTTGCAAAAGAGGTTAATATCTAATCCAAATGAATTGATAAAGAAAGGAATCATAAGGGAGAAGCAAGTGAACAAGGTTATCCAATAAAACTCAGGGGGAAATCACAAAGTATTCATTTATAGGATCTAAGGCTACTATAGGACCAGTTCCTGCAATGTGGGATCTGACACCAATGATTTGTAAATGGCCCATGAGGCTTTCTAAGAAGGGCATCTACTTGAACTTCCCTGGGTCTGGTAACTAATCACACACCCACTGTTCTTTTCAAACTCAGTATCCCTGTCAGGTAAGATCATTTTACATACCCCCATTTTGTATGTGGGGAAAATGGAGCTAGGAATCAGTGGTATAGTTGCTTACATTCCCCCCGCCCTCAAACTTCCCCTCCAGAGTTGCTGAATGTTAGGTCTTGACACCATTTTCCATCTCACTGTCAAACAAAAGCTCTCCTTCCCAAAGTTGGGTGTCAAGAGCAGGACGAGCTATAATTATTTCTGATTTGTTCAGTTCCTCCTACCTCTTCCACTCTGAACCATGACTGAATTGCTCTAAAATTAGAAGATGAGCTGTAGGCAGGGAAAGCCTTGAAAGCAACCTGGAGCTGCCACCTCCCCAGCCGCACTCACCCTAAGGGGTCCAGGTCCTCTCCCCCAACAGCAAATGGACCCAGGGGATCACGCCTGAAACAAATGAAACACAATTATGCCAGAGCCAAGGGGATGTGCAACTTCAGCCCAGCACCTGTGGGAGGGGACAGGGTCGAGCATAGTGGCTGAGGAGGCAGGGAGAATATGCACATAACTCTGGCAGTTGGAAAAGAGACAATGGCAAGCATTTTGGCCTTGGAGGGAAGAGAGCATTCAAAAGACCAAAAGGTCCTTATAGTCCAGAGGTGACAATGCCATTTAGCTAGTTTCTTGGGGCACAGGCCTGTTCTCTCCTGATCCTAGGTAGCCTTTAGTTCTGCTTAATGTAGGATTACTTTTTTTAAAAAAAGCTACAAATTAAAGTCCTGAAAAACTCACAAACTGGTGCTGTTCCAGTCAGCTCCTACTAATGAGCCAGGAAGGATTTTGTGGTTTAGAGTAGATGCAGGTATGTTTACAAGGAAGGGGGGTTTTATTGATCCAGGTCACTGTTCTGACAAGCCATCAGCCACAGAGCACCTGTGACCAGGATAAAGTTTCTGGTGGCCACTACCATCATGCTTCTAGTGCTAAATCCTCCATAAGTCTCACAATAGCTGTTATTCACTCTGAGCTAATAATAGAGTTGGGGCAGGGGTGAGAGAGAACAAAAAACATGAAAGGACAGTTAAGAGGGGTCATACCCATAACATTCACACTTGAAAACTGATACAAAGTAAATAAGAGGGTCTTTGGACAAATACATATATGATATACTTGGGGTCTTCTTAGCTTTCTACTGGATGTGGTCTAAAGGAGAATCCTGGGGGAGATTGATTACCTACTGGATACTGTAGGCAGCAAACTTGCTTTCATCTTAAAATTTTCTATTATCACTAATTTTATCTTCTGGCTCTCAGTGAAACCAAGCATCCTCCTGATGACAGTTTCCCTGGCCTTCCTTTTCTAGAATTTGTTACACTCTCATTCATTTGCACCCCCTCCCACTCCCTGGTTGAGGGGGGCAGTTGGAATACTCCTTGCTCCCCCCACTGCCACTTCCAGGTTTACCTTCTACCATCACCACTCAGTTATCTCATCTCACCTGAGCCCTCACTGTAGCAAGGTAATCTTTTTATAACTTCCTAATTGACTCACCATCCCACTCACCACAATGGCTTTTCCAAACATTTTCATTCCTCCTTAGACATCTCACAGACCCTCCTCCCCTCTCCACCTTCTCAGTGAGAACCTTGCCTCATATTTCATCCTGGTCATTTGCTGAAAACTTCCTCTTCTCCCCTCAACTCACATCTCCCAGAGGCTTTTTGCCACAATCACCAACTTTACTCATCTCACAAGGTAGTCCCTTCTCCTTACCAAAGCAACCCCACCCCTCTAATATACAAAAATGATCCCGTTCCATCCCTTCTTCTCCAGCAGACTGCTCCCTCTATCATCTCTACTCACTTATCTTTGATCTCTGTCTACTGCCTGCAAACATGCCAGTCCTCAAAAACTCTCACTTGATATCCATGCTTGCTAGCTGTAGGCCCACATCACTTTCTCGTTTCGTGGCTCAATTCCTTGAGAAGGTCTTCTTACAATAGGTGCCCCCATTTCCTTTCTCTCACTATATTCTCAACTTTTGTTTGAGCTTTCTGGCTTCTGACCTCATTATTCAACTGAAACTTCTCTCTCCAAAATTACCAAAGACTTCTTAATTATCAGATCTATTTTCAATCCTCATCCTTCCTGACCTCTCTGCAGCTTTTGATATCGCTGATCACCCTTGCTCTTCTTGATACTCTCTTCCTTCTAGGGTTTTCATGACACTACTCTCTCCTTTTTCTCATTTCTGCAGTGTTAGCTACTGCAAAATTCACAGCCCATTTGAAAGACGAAGCAGGTGACTTATGATATCTATCCTCCTGGGATGCTATTATCTTTAGTATTGTTTTCCAGGCAGCATGAAGCAGATATCCATTGTATCAAGAGAACCTAGGTTTCTTCCCCTGCTTCATCTGCAATTTTTGACCACTGGACAGAAGGTATGTAACTATGATGACAGGGAATATCAATGGATGGAGGTATGTAGGCATGCATATATATAAATTAAAGCAAGACTTGAACACTGTAGGTACACAAATATTTGACTGATATGTGCCATATCTATCTATAACAGACAATACACCTCAAATGAGATTTCCTTGGAAAAAATGTATAGCTATGCACTGAAAAATAAGACTAAGTCTCATTCATATTTCATATGTCAGATTCTGGGAAAATATTTGTTTCATATTTATTCTACTTTATATACATGACTAAGAATCAGAAGATTTAGGTTAGATTTCTGGTTTTTCCAGTTATTTACTGTTTGACCATGGGCAAGGCACAACTCCTCAGAACCTGTTTTCTCCTTTAAAAAATAGAGATAAAAATCCTGTATCACCTACTTCACGTGGACATCATGAAAAACCCTTTGAAAATTGTAAAGTAATACAGAAATGTGAGCAGTCATGTAGGTACATAAACTATTCTACATTTATCTTGCACTTTATAGTTTAATTTGGCATCTTCACAACATTTGATATCTCCTTTGACCTCATAACCACTTAGGTGGCATTATCCCAATTTTACAGGTAAGAAAACTGAGGCCCAAAAAGATGAAGTTACTTGCCCCAAGATCATACACCAATAAGTAGCAGAAATAGGTCTTAAACCCAGTCTTCTAACTGCATTTCCTCTTTCCACTATACCATGTTGCTGTGAGTGTATAGATAAACATACAATAACAAATGACTAAAAAGGGAGGAAGGAGGCAGGAAATAGGAATATCCCCAATATGCCCTAGCAGATTCAAGGTTCTGAGGTGATCAGGCACTGAAAAAAACTGAGAAACACCATTCTATATCCTTAGGGTATATTCAGGTCAAGTTTTAGTGGAGAACAGCATTTTCCTGCCAACATCAATTTAAAAGAAAAGTCATCCTTTTCAACCTCTTCCTTTACCTTCATTACCTAAAGGTTGAAAGCATTTGCTTTCTTGGTGTCATAAGAACCTTTTAATGCTTCCTGTCAGAGATGCTGCAAAAGGGACTGGGTGGGAGATTGGATTAGATAACCTTTAATCATCCCTTCTAAGATTCTGATTCTAAGCAAAAACCAGCCGTGGAATGTCTTGTTTCCTGGGGAATTTTGTAGACTAATGGCTAGCTTCTACCCTAGATAAAGCTGCTAAATGTCTATGGCTCATCAATAGCAAGAGGTCCTGTGCTAAAAGCCCTAAGACCCTGCAGGACAACACATATCATATGTCAAAGCCTTGATATATGTACTACCTGGCATACAATTAAAGACACCAGCTTAGATAAGAGTTTTTATCCTTTATTTTAAAAAATCATCTATAATTAGAGGATACTGAAGTATGTAGGAAGGGTAAACATAAACAGGACGTATATGAACATACAGAATACAGGCATAAGGGCTACACACCTAGTTCTGCCCTTTTCACTGTTGAACCTATGGCCACTTGGTGATTCTATGTATTCTAGCTCAAGGTCAGTTTGATGAAAACATTACAAATTAAGTCCTAAGTCCCAAGGGAAGAAAAGCTAAATGGATTTTTGAATCTGTAAGCAGGATTAAGGGCTTATATATTCAGTCTGGATGTACCCCATGTATTCTCAGCTTAGAATGAAATCACCACTCCTATTCTTTTATGAGGGAAAGCTACAGGCTTTTAAGCAAGGGGATAAGAATATTATTATAGGATCACAGAATCTTGGGAAAAGGACCTTAGAAGTTCCCTAGCCCAAACAATACCTGAAACATGAATTCCACCCCACTCCCATCTTACAAAATCCCTGAACAAGTGATCATCTAGCCTATGTCTGGATACCTTCAATAGTGAGGAGCATCTGGTTCTCCCTAGTCTGTTCCAATGTTGGGATATTTCGAATGCTTAGGAAATTCTTCCTCAAAATGAATTGAAATCGGCCTCCTTATAATTTTACTGATTCCAGGGAAGCCAGTGGAACAACTCTTCAGATATTTGAAGATTTCAATCAAGCCTGACCTCTTACCTCTTCTCAAGGCTAAACAGTCCCATTTCCTTTAAGTAATCATTATATGATGCTGTCTGACTCCTTTCCCATTCCGGTCACCCTCTTCTGGATGTGTTTCATCTTGTCAATGTTCCTTCTAAAATATGGCACTCACAACTGGGCACAAAGTCCAGATGGGCTCTGAGTAGATTAGACCCCAGAGTAAAATGCTCTTAAAAATGGAATGTAGGGAACAGGGACGGGAGACAGATAAGTCTCCCAAGGCATAAAATTTTCTTTAGATTATTAATTAATCTGAATACATGGCAAATCTCATTACCAAAACCTTGAAGGGGCTGTCCAAGTTTCTTTATTGCAGTGGAATCTGACTACGAAGACTACTAGATAAGGGCAAGAAATTCTTGGGTTGTATGGAGATTTTTATTGCAATACCATGAGACAAGTTTGTTTGCAAATAAAGGTTTGGCTGGATTTCTCTTAAGGCTACCACTTTAAAGATGCCAGCAGGAGCCCTAAGAGAAACAATCTCATTCTTTTGATATGGTAATCCCCCCCGCCAAAGGTCAGCCTTATGCTAGAATTAAAAAGAATCTGCCACCAATGCAAAGGACAAAGATATCATTTGGTCTGGAGAGGAAAAGGCTAAGGGGTGGCTGCTTCAGACTTTACAATTCGGGAACAACAGTGGTTGATAACTGTTAGCTCTTCAGGTCTGTGATGATGAACTGAATGAGGAGAAATGAGCATTGCCTATGATAGAATGGACTTGGACTCAGTTTAGATATGAGAATAAACCAGGGTGGGGAACCTGCAGCCTCGAGACCACATGTAGCCCTCCAGGTCCTCAAGGTTGGCCCTTTGATTGAATCCAAACTTCACAGAACAAATCCCCTCAATAAACTTTCTGACTATGAGCTGAGACAAAAGGACTGTTGAGGGAGATTAAGGAAGAGCTTTCCCTAATTAACCTGAATTCCTATGTGACATTAAGATTTACAAAGGAGGAAAAGTCTCATGTTATAGCACAAAAGACTGACCACATTGGACTTGTGTTCAACAAGCTATGGGTTTAAAATCTGGGTTTGACACTTACTACTAGCTGTGGCAAGTTAACTTGTTTTGAGCTTTAGTTATTTTCATTTAATGGGAATAATAATGTCCAGAGTTATGAGGAAAGTACTTTGTAAACGTCAAAGGCATTTAGAAATGTGAGTTACCATCATCCCTATCTGACAGATGAGGAAACTGAGGCACAGTAAGATTAAATGACATATTTGCAAGGTCACACAGATGTGACAGTCAGTGTTGGAACCTCTGAGACTCAAACCAATGCCCTCTCTGCCTTTACACCACACTGCCTCACACTGAAACAGACTTTCAGAAGCCAAAGAATATCAGGGCTGAAAGGGGCTTGAGAACATAGAATGTTAAAGCTGGAAGAGATGGACCTTATATATCTACAACCCCTCATTTTACAGAGCAGTCTTGCAAAAAAGGATTCCCCAAAACTCATCCCAACCAAATGTTTTCTTCATCTATATTCCCTCATACAGTTACATCATGAGGCAGGTGGCTACCAGCAGGTCTAGGTTAGACATCTCATTCACTTATAAGTTTCGTGATTTGAGGATGGTGGATGAACTGCTTTTGGGGGTAGACAATTCATTAATTCCTGGCTTAGGATTTTATACTTCTATCCGTAGCTTTCATAGCTTTTGGGGCTCAACAGCCCAGTATGGAATGGGAACTAGCTACTTCTACCACAGAACTCAAGTTAGCTGCTGCTTCTAGATCCCAGGGAGTTTCTGGCCTGTTAAATAGATGCCATTAAGATAAATTGTTAGCTGGCTTGCCCAGGGCTCTTTTGGCCCCAAATGACCCATGGTGGGAAAGAGGGAAAGAAAGAGGAAAGGGACTGTCATTTACTGATATGGGATCTCTCTCCAACTCGTGCTTTTGGGGATGCTGTAATTAACACCCCATCGAAGCCAGACAGGTGGCCCAGCTGCTGCTATTCCCTTTTTCTTTTCTTCCTTCCAGCCCCACCCTCTCCCAGGATGGGCATTTGAGGGGGAAATAAAAAGGTGAAAGTGTGTGAGCTTGGTTGCTAAGCAACTTGGCAGCTAGGTTATTATAATGGAATTAGTGTCATTATTGACATCTGTGCTGACAAAGGAGGGCGTGTTGGAGGGAGAGTCAGGGTAGGGTGAAAGGAGAGAATTCAACTATATGCAGAAGCACACAAAACAGAGAAGCTTAGTTATACATCATCCCAAGACTTGGAGAGTCTGCCATTGCTTGGGAGAGACTACATTATCATCCATTAGGCCCAAAGGAGACTTTTATTGATAAGAAGTTAAAATGTATTTCTTCTGGACTTATACCCTCTCATACCCAAATGGTTCCCTCTTCCTCATTGGGTAGGAATGTCTGCCTAGTACATAAACCTTCTTACCTCTGTTCCCATCTCTGTCTCACTGAATGAGTGGAACCAATTCCATCCTTTTTTCTGTTTTATCTCACCAGCCAGGCCCTAATATAAGGACTGAAGATTAAAATGCTTCCATGGTCTAAAATGGGTGTGAGTGAGGCGCTGCTAATGCTGGCAACTGCACTTGTCTCCGTGGTCTTCTATTCACTGTATGGAATGTCTATGGGTGCTGGGAGATGGGAGGGCACAGGAGACCTCCACACTCTTCCTCTAATCCATTCCGGAAGGTTGCCACCAGCCCAATTTTTCAATAGAACTGCTTTCCTGTTACTTTCTCTTTTTACTCTCATTCAAAAATCTTCAGAGACCCCTCCCTCCATTGCCCAAGCTAATATATCCCAGCTCCTTAACTTCGGATGGTCCTCTACAACAATTTGGGTCCCACTGAGTCGATGTGAGAGATTTATTAGCCCTGGATCTGGAGTCAGAGGATCTGGACTCAAGTCATGATTCTGCTACTTCTATTACCTGCGTGACTTTGGGCAAATCACAAATTCTCTGGGCCTCAATTTTCACATATACAAGTTGGATGTGGAGTAAATATGATAACCAAGGTCCCTTCCAACTCAAAATATTATGAATCCATCTTTTTTAGCCTTATCTTCCAGTCCTTCCTTACATGCATTTTCACTCTGATCAAACCAGCCTACTCATCAGCACCATTAACAAAAAAAACTTAATGATGAGTCTCAAAATAAATTGTGTTTACTACTAAATGGCAAGGTCACGTGCTCAGCAGCTGAGATACAAATCTTATGATGTTTTAGGAAGATCAAGATAAGACAAGTATACAAATAAGTATGAGACAAGACTGAATTGTGATCAGAGATAAAGGCAATATGCTCTGGGAGAACTTGAGGCAAAAGAGCTGCTTTCAGCTGATGGAACTGGAGAAGGTTTCCCTCCAAAGAGGAATTGGTGCCTAAATACAGTCTTTAAAGAGAAAGAAGGACAAGGGGCCAAGTGATGGGGATACAAAGATGGGTAACTCTGCCTCTCCCCCTCAAGAGCTTCATAGTCTAACTGGAGAAAAAAGGACATGTGCCCCAAAAGATGGACCACAGGGCTGAAGTGGTTGGGTGACTTTAGGGATTTGCTGACTGTTCAACAGGCTTTTTGAAGCCACTGTGTTTCACCTGATGTGAATGCTTTCTCCCCTCTACCAAAACTCTACCCATTCTTCAATGCCCAGCTCAGTCTCACCTCATCTAGATGCTTGCATAGATGGTTACAACCATAGACTAACACTACAGCAAAAACTATCTTTAACTTTGATTTAGTAGTTTCCTATACTTTGTTATGACATCTTGTATATGTTATTTATATTGACATATATACAACTCTATAATTAGGTTGTAAGCTAGTTGAGAGCAAGGAAATGATCCTAATTTTTCTGTGTTACTCTCAGCATAGTAATAAATACATAATGTTATACATGTGACAGAGCTTTTCAATATTTGTTGAATTACTGACTGATCTGTGTAAATATTCTGGCTTTATAACCTCTTATTTCAAATGGCTTGTGATCTGAAAAAAGTATAAGCTCCACCAAAAACCTGTCATGCAATAAATAGAAAGACTGAAAAAAAAAAAAAACAATTGGCAAAGAAACCACTCACTATGTATGAGTGATACCTTAAGGATTCTTTTAGCAAGCTAACAGTTTCAGGAACCCTCATTCCCATCGGAGCAACAGAATCTTGAGGCTGGCAGAGAGCTTAGAAATCTTCTAGTCCAATGCTCTCCTTTTTACAGAGGATGAAATTAAGTACCAGAGAACGGAAGAAACTTGCTCAGGGTCCTGGAATGGCAGAGCTGTGACTAAAATCCAAGGTTCTGGACTTCAATTTCAGGGCCAGGACAAAATCTCGAGAATCCCCATCTAGCATTCTTTCTACTTCAATGTGTCCTGTTGGGTCATAAAGCTCTTGCACATCGTGGGTGCCCCCAAAATACTTGCTGGTCTTGAGAAAGTAGCACTGGCCAATCTAGAATACTGCAGTAGGATTTTTATATTGCTTGAGTTTGTATTGACAAACAGGACCCTAAGGCAGCTGCTAATAACTCAACATCACCTGCAGAAACCAGTAGGGTTAAGAATTCTGGGCAATTAGAAGTTTCTAACTAGTCTCCATGACTCTAGTTTCTCCAGTCTTCAATCCATCAACACACAGCTGCCAATGTAATATTCCTAATGTTCATATATGTTCCCTTTCCTGCTCAAAAATCTTTAGTAGCTCCCTCCTGCCTAGAGGAGAAAAATCTAACTCCTTTTCCTGCCATTTATAGCTCTTCATCATCTGGTCCAACCCAGTCTTTCAACCTAGTTTCACCTTATTCCCCTTCACATCCCCCATGTTCCAGCACAAACTAGGCTACTTTTTCTAATCTCACTACTCTTATCCCCACTCCCAAGGCCCTGATTAGGCTGCCTCCACCACTGAAAAGCACTTCCTCCCAATTCCTGCTAAAGAAACCCTTTTCATCCTTTAAGGCCCAGCTCAGGGGCCATTTCCTCCCTCCAATGCAATCCAACAAGTGTTTATTTATTAAGCACCTACTTTGTGTGAGTTATATTTTATTGGGGAAATGTTCACAGATAATGTAAATATGTCATGTGTATGACAATTGAGGATACAGTGCTAATAAATAAGGGGAGGAAGCCAAACACTGACCTTGATTTCCCTCCAGCCAAAAGCTATATATCTCTCCTCAGAGTTTCTTAGAATATAGTCCAGATGTCTCCGTTCTTCCAATTATATGCTACTACTTTGTATTATACTTCTTTGTACACCTATTGTAGTCTACCCCCACACCCCTCCCAATGCCATAAGCTCCTAAAGTCTAGGTAGGGCTTATATCATTTTTGTGTCCCCAGGGGCCTAGCACAGTTGCTGGTCAATAGAAGGTACAGAAAGAGACAGAAAAGTGCCATTCAATTCTCTAATCCAATCAGGAAGAGGAACACAAGGACAAATGAATGCCTGAGTAATGGTAGGCTAGGACTTTAGATATGATTGCTACCTGCTCCATGCTGCCAACTCTGTACTTACCAAGGAGGTTGCCTGCTGGTGTGTGGGTGGTGAGGGGGAATACGGAGAGGGTCGTATTCTCTGGAGGTGGCAGGTGGAAACTCCCGAGAGGAACTGGCCAGATCACTTTTGCTCAAAGAGTTCTTGATGGGCAAAATGAGGCCTGATGCAATCCGTGTCTGGAGCTCTTTGCTGTTCTTGTAGACCCTGCGGGATCGAGAGGGGTAGTCAAGTAGAGGTACATTTAGCTGGCTAGCAACCTTAAAGATAGTTGACTTGTGGGCCGCCTGGCAGCTCCTGGGCAGGCGAGGAGCCTTGGTGCCCGGATGTGGTTTGGCCGCCTGGCGGCCCTTAGTGGAGGAGGTAATAGCCTGGCGTCTCCGAGTTTTTGGGCGACGCTTCTTCGGCATCTGATTTGCCCCTCCTCCTTTACCACCCCATTAGAAAGAGCTAAAGGGGGAGAGGCACGGGGATCTGAGTGGCACAGGGAGAGAGCATGTAGCTTTCAGCTGGCTGGCTCCCCCAGGACTCATCCACCAGCTCCCCATTGTGTGTTCATCTTATGTCATAGGCTGTATCACTTGGGAAAAGGTATGGAAGGGAAGCAAATAACTACAGGGAACAGGTCAATGTGTATGGCTCAAACCAGGCCAGGAGGTAGGACTTTAGAATGTTCTGGGCCAGGTTCTCATTCTAACTTAGTACATGTCCTAAGTTCATTAAACTTCTTCTAATTCTCTTCACCTATACAAGAAGAAGAACAGGCATTTCTTACTAATCAACTGCAGAAGGCTGCAATGTCTCAGGACCTAAGATGTGGATGCTACTACAAAGGCTTTAAAAGAATTATCTTCCCAAGTACCGTATATAAGTTCTGATTAAATTCTGGAATAGGAGTCAGGGGACCTATATTCTAGTCCTGGCTCTGATTCAAATAATTTGCTGTGCGACATCAGGCAAGCTCACTTTACTCTTAGCCTGTGTTCCTTTCTCTATATATGAAGAAGTAAGACATAATCTTGAAAGGTCACTTCCAGCTCCAATATTTTAGGATGCATGTAGTGTAGAACAATTTCTTACCATCAGGTATTTGAGTCCCTATATTGCTTCCTTTTTATGAATTATACTGGAAGGGACTTTTCCCAAAGTCCAGCATATCTTTGCGAAAACCTGGATTGTAGAAATGAAGCCTTATTTAAAAACTCCCCCTGATTCAAAGCAACAGTGAAGGAAGATTTCTTGTAATATCATTTGCCTTTCACTACCTAATTACATAATTCTAGAACTCTAAAAGATCTTAACAGATCACCTAGTATAACTCCCTCTTGCCTTTAATTTCTTCCCCCTTCAATCACTCAAAGAGATAACAAAATTATACTCCTTAAAGCACAGGTCTAACTCCATCATTTCCCAAATCAAAAACGTTCAGCAGTTCCATACTGCCTCCAAAACAAAATACAAAATCCTCAGTCTGGTACTCAATATCCTCCAAAATATGGCTTGATAGTCCTTATTTCATATTATCTCCCTTAACACACTCTGTTCCAATCAAACTGACCTATCTGTATTCCACATATGACATTCCCCCACCCCCATCTCTACGCCTTTGCACAAATAGCTCCCAAAATCTGGAATATACTTTTCATCACTTCTGCCTACAGAGTACCTTTGTTGTTCAATCATTACTCCATATGGAGTATTCTTGACAAAGATACTAAAGTGGCTTGCCATTTCCTTCTCCAGCTAATTTTACAGATGAGGAAACTGAGGCAAAGACATCCCCCCCACCACCATCTCTATGCCTTACTTCTTCATATATAGAGAAAGGAACACAGGCTAAGAGTAAAGTGAGCTTTACTCTAAATTTGCACAAATGGCTCCCAAAATCTGGAATATACTTTTCATCACTTCTGCCTACAGAATACCTTTGTTGTTCAATTATGACTCCATATGGAGTATTCTTGACAAAGATACTAAAGTGGTTTGCCATTTCCTTCTCTAGCTAATTTTACAGATGAGGAAACGAGGCAAACAGGGTTAAGTGACTTGCCCAGGGTCACACAGCTAGTAAGTGTCTAAGGCTGGATTTGAACTTGGGTCTTCCTGACTCCAGGCCCAATGCTCTATTCATCATACCACCTAGCTGGTCCTAGAATACCTAGCTTCCTTCAAAACACAGCTTTCAAGCCACTTTCGATATGGATCGTTTCCTTAGTTATCCTTAGTTATTAGCATATTCTCCCCTTGGAAATTACATTGTATTACTTTGTCTTTACTTGCATACATTTAACATGTCTAATTTAATGTAAGCTCATTGAAGTCAGGAACTGTTTCATTTTTAATCATTGTATCCCTCATACCTAATACAGTGCCCTGCATATGTTGAATTGAATTACTGATAGATTTATCTATAATATTTCCAGCAAGTGTTCACATTACCTGTGCCTAACTATTTCTCCAATGATGTCTGTAGTTAGTTTTCCTTCAATAATTATAGAGGAAATTTCTGTTTAGGTAGGGGTGGAGGCTAAATGATTTCTGAGGTATTTTTAAGCTCAGAGATTCTGTTAACTCACTTTCTTCGGAGGCAGTCCATTCCCTTTTAAGATAATTTTGATTGTTAAAAACTTTTTCCCTCTATTGAACTAAACTCTGCTTCCCAGTAACTCTTCCCCATTGGTTCTAGATTTTCTTCTGGAGTCACACAGAACAAGCCTTCTTTCTTTCCCAATGATAATCCTTCAGTTGTCTGAAGAAAATCATGCTATACTCTTCCAAGTGTTTGTTTTCTAAACTTAACAACCCCAGTTCCTTCAACTAATTCCTACTAGGAGATGCTAACAGGACTAGAAACCATCCTGGTTGTCCTGCTCAGGAAGAGAACAAATTAATTCATCAATGTTCTTCCTAAAATTCGGCACTCCAAACTAGGTACGATAACGCGGATGTGAACTGAGCAAGGGCAAAACACAAGCAAGGCTATATTCCCTTCCTCATTCTGGATACTGGACTGCTAGATATTAATAAAGTCTGATGGAGCAGGGGTTTATCTCCCCAGTTATACTAATCTGGCAATGGCAAAAGAAACCTACTGCTTCATCTAACGTGATGATGAAGACAGAGGTGCAGAAGAGCAAAGCATTTTCGTACTCACTTGCTCCTCACCATCTATAAATATCTGTAGTCTGATTGGCACAAGTCCCTCAAGCATAGTAGAGATGAGAAAATAGAAGCAAAGATAGATTAAAATGTACTAGCCTGTCCTGTTTTCCAGACTGTGGATGTTCTTTCATAATTGCTCTCCTCTATTTCTTCCCTGAGTGTCAGTTACAAAAGAAAAGAAGAGTTACGGTGGATCTATTCAAAATGTGGGTCCCTCCTCATCACCAGCTCTTAAATACCCATGCTAATGGATTGGTAAAGGAAACTTGTCCAGATAATTCAAAGGAAACAGGCACCATACCAATTCATTTCCCTCACTGTCTCATTCTGACTAGTTCCTGTATCTTGTGGTTCTTTAGAATTCAAGAATCAGCTTAAATCATATCATTTTAGGCTATTCTTATACGATTTTGGAAGCAAAGAACGTAGAAAGTTGGCCTGCCCAGGAATACATGGTATTTTAGAAAACTTCTCTTTCAACTTTCCCTTCTATTATTATACTTCCATCTCAAATAATTCTATGAGCATAGTACATAGTCAATAAGTGGCTAAATTCAATTTAATTGAACAAAAATTTATTGGGTCCTCTGACTGGGGACAAAGATTAATAAGACATAGTCCCTGAATTTCAGGAAGTATACAGTCTAGTTCAGGAAATTTGGCAGGCACAGAAATAACTCATATTAAGTCAGAATAGGAAAGTCCCACAAGGGAGGTACAAATACAGTGCTAAGGGGATACAGAGGAAGAAAGTATCATAAATAGAGACTGAAAAGTTAGAGAGGGAAACAGTGAAGATATACTTTGAATACGAACTGGGCCATAAAAAATGGACAGAAACCTTACAACTGGAGATGGGAAAGAAAGAGATTGTAAGAAAAGGTAACAATGTGTACAAAGATACAGAAATGGGAAAACCAAAGGAGTGTTTAAAGAATGGTTCATTATCTTTTATTGCTGGGTTAATTGTGAAAGAATTTGTAGTGAAGCAGGAGAGGTAGGCGGGAGCCAGATGTGGAGGATCTCCAAGATGAAAAACTAAGGAGCCTGGACTTTATCCTGAAAGTAACAGGAAGTGACATGATCAAGTTTGAGCTTTAGGAAAACTGAATAAATGATACAATATGAGGGTTAATAAATTTACCTGGCTTATGCAGGACATCCCAGAACTTTCTGAGGAAAGCCAGCCTGAGACTGCTGCTAATATATCATACATGGATAACTGAGAGCTTTAACAGCATCTGGGAGGTACATATCTAGGTTAGTTTCAAACAATTCTTTGGACTGTCTCAATCTCACCCAGTTCTATCCCATTATCCCACAATATCTTTCTACTAATTGTCTCATCTCTTCTTACCCTATTTGAGTGGCCTGGAGGGGCAATTATTGGAAGTACCTGTGGAAGTCACCCAGGTGTTCACCATCCACATAATCCTCCACATTCAGGGTCAAGTCCACCACCTGTTGTGACTTATACTCCTGGAGAACAGCAAAGGGAAAGAAAAGTTAGTGGGTCAGGAGGAGGTTGCCAGAGACCCAGAGGGAATCCAGGGCAAACTATCCCAGACTATCCAGGGGTGGGGAACCTGCAGCCTCAAGGCCACGTGTGGCCCTCTGGGTCCTCCAGTGCAGCCCTTTGACTGAATCCAAACTTCACAGAACAAATCCCCTTAATAAAAGGATTTGTTCTGTAAAACTTGGACTCGTCAAAAGGCGGCACCCAAGGACCTAAAAAGCCACATCTGGCCTCGAGGCTGCAGGTTCCCCACCCCTGATCCAGACACAAAAGACTGGCTGAGAAATCCCTAAGAGAAAATTTGAGAGTTTCTGAAACTTTGGAATGGCAAAGATCCAGTTCTAATCATTTTCCCTGATTCTGTCTTATGCTCTGGGCATGGCTACTCTGGCTTCAGGACTCCAGCTGGAAAGAAAAGTGGTTATATAAATTCAAAGGAGTATCCCCAAGGCAATCTCCTTCCCTCAACTGGTTTTTTTTTTTTTTTACACTAGTTTAAAGGCCGCCCTGTTTTCTGAATTCTCAGCGATTTTTCCAAAGAACATATATTATTTAGATGAGAACATAGGCACAATGATATCGGGACCCCCACTTCTTAAGTGAAATGAGCTTTCTATGTTTATTCATTGTTGTCTATAAAAATAGGACTTCCCTTTATTTGTCCTAAATCTACTTCTTTTAAAGTGTCAAGCAACTGTAGATTTGAGCTGGAAGAACTTTAGTGATTATCTAGTCCAATCCCTTTATTAGACACAGATGAGGGGATGGATACCCAAAGAGAGAAACAACTTACCTAAGGTCACATGGTTAAGGAGAAGAGCTAGGATCAGAACTGTCTTTTGACTCCAACTCTAGTGTGCTCTTTCCACTATATCATACTGCTACTTCAATATTGACCACAGCTCAGACATTATTGCCCTAACTGATCTTCTGCAATGACACCATTAACATACTATAACTAAATTGTGCTATAACCATGCCATTTACAGCACTGTTCCTATGAAGCTAACAGCTACCATAAAACATTATTCTGCTTAAATTCAGGTTCTAATACTATCAATTACCAATATTTGGTAGCATGTCAATGTGTTCTGGGGTCTGGATGCATAGGCTCACCCTATTCACATATCTTTTGTGATTAAAAAGTTTTTAGTCAGATACCTTTTGAGCCTTTGTTTATAGGCTGAAATAAGAGACCTCCTCCCTCACCATGAAAGTCCTGCCTGCCTGCCTTCCTCCCTTCCATCCCTTTGGATATAAACCTTGAAACTGTAGCAAATGAAGTAGATGCTCAATCCATTACATCTGGCTGGCTGTCATATCTCCATTTAGCAGGCTCCTGGAGGGTTGGGCTTAACAGCAGAGGACTCACCAAAGCATTGATAATCATGCTATCATCCACCATGATGGCCTTCAGAAGGAGTTCCTTTGAGTTATCTGTGGACTCATAGCGAAGGACATAAAGATCTTTATTGGCATTCCATCCATGTGGCAACAGCTCAGATTTCTTATCGTCTGGACCTGGCTGTGAAGATATAGTGGGCAGGGTATAAGTGAAAATGAGAATTTCTAGAGCTTTCTTAGTGGCAGGATAACTGCACACTTTAATGGTTTAAAAAATATGTGTAAGTTCCTGGGTATTCTGGTCAGTCAAATTTCCTCTGTGCAAAAACTCATCATATTGCACAAGACTGTGTAGAAAAGCAACTGAAAAAAAAATCATTTAGGTAGTCTTTTTTGGGGGTGGGGGCTAGGCAATGGGGTTAAGTGACTTGCCCAAGGTCACACGGCTAGTAAGTGTTATGTGTCTGAGGCCAGATTTGAACTCAGGTCCTCCTGAATCCAGGGCCAGTGCTCTATCCACTGCGCCAACTGGCTGCCCCAGGTAGTCTTTTTCTTTAATCAAATTGCCCATGGCTTTTAATTCCCATGCCAGTCAAGATTCTCTCTCTGAATAAAGATGACCAGATTTATTTTCCACATTAACAATTATGGAAGTTCTATGTATTGCATGAGAGTTATTCTTTGTGTTTTAAGGGTTATAACTAGAGATCATGCATTGGTATTTGAAAGATTTATTTAAAGGTACAGAATCCGTGTTGGTATTAGAAGGAATACTAGGGGCAGTTTGTTTCAAACCTCTTAAAAGATCATGGCACAGGGAAGTGACTTGCCTAAAGCCACACTGTCAGCCAGTGGCAGAACCAGAACTGAATCCAGGCTTCCAATCTCGTTTCTGCTACAACATCCTGACTAGGTGAATATTAACTTTTGCATATTTTGGGGTTCCCAGCCTTGGTTTTGCAATACCCCAAAGTGCTGGAATTGTTTCAAGGGATGTTGTGAAATTCTGAAATGAAAAAATTCTGAAAACATATTAGTACATTTTCTAAAAATACAGATCACACAGCACTTTCAGGAGGGGAATTAAGAGACAGAAAGGGGCTATGAAATCAAACAGCTGGGATACTACAAACCAGAAATTGCTAGGAATACCTGGAATATTTTCAGAATGATCTAGCTGGAAGACAAGTAGCCTCAGAGGCCTAAAAATGGCAGAAATGAAACTGAAGGAAACACAAGTGAAATTTAACAGCTTAATGAAAGTGAAAGAGAAAAAAAAAGTAGCAAAATATCATAGCCTGTTAGATTTTAATATGTTCAATTTTAAGTATCTGAAGATTACTTCAGGGACTCAGGGACTCTGACAAAGACAAAATATATTATAGTCAGAGTCCCTTTAATTTTTCTTTAGAACACATGCTTGTGGCTTTTAATCCCTGTCCCCAATCCAGATCTCCTTTCTGAATAAAGATGACTGCATCTGCTTGCTAAATCACCGTCTCTGTGTATCAATTAGGTGAAAAAATCCCACAGTGGGTAGGACAGATAACATACAACAATTTTTAAGATTGTCCCCATCTCTGATACTATCATCTTCTCAGCAATAAAAAGCCAAGGCCTGCTCCAGTATAAAAAAATGAAAGGAGGCCTGAGGGAGACAGACTGACCAGCTTCCTCATATATATTCCAGGAAAACTCTGAAGTTTGTGCCGGACTGATTAATGAACAAGAAATACACCAAGAAACTAGAGTAAGTTAATTCTTACACCCCAGAACTGTGTATTAGCTAAAAGCCTGAGGGGCAATAGGAAAGGGAGTCAATAGCAAAGCCAGTGCCAGCACTGCCAGATATAGGCCAGAGACATGCAGCTTTCAGGAAATCATGAATGAAAACTATCCAGATTTAAGAGAACCAGAGGGCAAAGCAAAGATTGAGAAAATCCACTAAACACTTCCTTAAAAAAAACAAAAAACCAACAAACAAAAAAGGGAAAAGTCCCAGGGACCCAATTCTGGAGCTCCTAGATGAAAAAAAAAATACTACAAATATCCAAAAAGAAGTTCAAATACCAAGAAACCACAGTCAGGATCACCCTAAGACCTGGCAGTTTCTACAAAAAAATTAAAGGTGATCTTGGAATACAACATTTTAAAAGGCCAAAGAGAGAACTTTACCCTGCAAAAGGGTAAAAGGCCAAAGAGAATAATTTATCCTGTGCAAAGCTGAGTGAAATCCTAAATGGAATAGAGGACTTTCAAGCATTTCTGATGAAGAGAGCTGTGAACTTTAAAATAAAACACAGGGGTCCAAAGAAAACTTAAAGGGAAATTTACTCAAGTAGTCTGAAGGATGCGTATGATGACGTAGTGCTAATATTCTACTGGAGAGAAGAAACAAGTAATCCTTTCAGATCCTTAGTATCTTTAAAGGGTATTGAAGGAGTTAAATAAGAAAAATAAGTGCAGCCTGGTTCTGTTCTGAAGGTTTGAAATGGGGAAAGAGATGGGGAGTTAAAAAATAATACAGTACAGTATGGAAAAGAGAAAGAAGGGGTAGAACTTGGTATTTCTCATAATTGGAGAGAAGAATATATTTTAAAAAATAACAAAATTTAAAAGGTTGTAAATGAAGGTGAGTAAAAAGGAAGATGTTTGGGCCTTGGGACCCACCCTGTGAGTGAGAGATTGAGAAAAAGAGAGAAAAAGCAAGAGAGAGAAAGAGAGAAAGACAGAGAGAGAGAGAGAGAGAGAGAGAGTGAGAGAGTGAGAGTGAGTGAGTGAGTGAGTGAGTGAGTGTTTCTCCTGCTCTCTAGTAAGGAAAGAGTAGGAATAAAGAGTAAGAGGTGGTGTGGTAAAATGTAAAGAGAGCTGGAGTTGGAGGACATGGGTTTGAATCCAGACTGGAGAAACCACTCACTTTTGGGCCACCATTTCCTCATCTAAATAAGGGTTAGAACTGACAACCTCTAAACCTTCTTCTAGCTATAAATCTATGATTCTATTCCAACTTAGTGTGAATGTATGTGAGGATTTTTAGGGGAAGGTGAGAAGGGGTAGTACATTGTGTGTGGGGGGTAAGGTTTGTAACTGTTTCAGGCACTTGCTCACTGTGAGAAGTAGGGGGAAGGAGGCTTGCTATACCAGTTTTCTAACTAAGTTAGTCACCTAGAATTTAATAGATATTATGTGCCAGGTACTGTGCTAAGCCCTAGAAATACAAAGAAAGGCAAAAAACGGTGCCTGCTCTCAAGAAGCTCACAGCCTATGGAGAGAGACAACACATAAACAACTATGTACAAACAAGATACATACAGAATAAACTTGGGATAGTCTCACAAGGCAAGCACTAAAATTAAAAAGGATTGGGGAAAAACTTCTTACAGAAAGTGGACCTTTGGATGAGACTTGAAGGAATTTGGGGGAGCCAGGAGGAAGAGATGAAGATGGAGAACATTCTGGATATCAGGGACAGTCAGTGAAAAAGATCAGAGATGGGATTTTGTGTGTTGGAGGAACAGCACGGGGAGGACAGTGCATGGATCAAAGAGCATGTGGAGACTGTGAAGTAGAGCGGTGTGCGTGGGCATCCCTACCAAGTCCCTGGTAAGGCAGGTGTGTGGCAGCCTGTGAACAGACACGGACAGCTGGGAGAGTGTGTTTCTAAGTGTGTCACAGGCTTGATGAGAATCAAGTGTAACTGCGTGGGGCTGGGGGGGGGGGGGGCGGCCGTGCCGGGTCCGGGGGGGAAGACGGCGGGCCGTACCTCCTTCCGGGTAAGGAGCGCGTCTTGGGGGGTGGGGGTGCAGGCCATACCAGGCTGCCCTTGCTCCGCAGCAAGGAGCCGGGCTACATGCACGCGTGTAGGCGCCGGGAGGAGCGCGGCGGGGGGCGATGGGGGAGGGGGCACCGGGCTGGGCCGGGGCTGTACCTGGTCGCCGGTGCCCAGGCCTCGGTAGCCCTGGGTGACGAGCTCCCAGTGCACAAAGCACACAAGCGCGTCCTGGCTGCAGGTGATCCCCGGCGCTGCCGAGGCGTAGAGCAATTCCAGGCCCGCCATGACTTCCTGGTATCCAGCCGCCTCCTACACAAATGTCAAGTCAGCACCACATCACGGTCCAACGGCCCCGGCCTACCGGCGGGCCCCGCCTCCGCGGCGAAAGAGAAACAACGCCCAGACTGCGCAGGCCCGGCCTCCCGCAACCAGGAGCCGGAAGGAACCCGAGGCTTCCGCTGGCTAAAAGGAATTCCCCTCACGTCCCTTACGGTTCGGCTCGGGCTGGTGCTGGTGTCTGTGTCGGGGAGCCTGAGGAGAGGCGGGACAGGAGGCAGGAGGGATGGCGGTGGGAGAGGGGCAGGGGCGCTCCCAGGATGCGAAGTGGGGCGTCGGTCTCAGAAGCTCCCAAGGAAGAGCTCGTGAGACCACCTGAGGTTGTGTTTTCAAGGAGGAAATTAGAAAGCTGGAGAGTCCCCCCCCCTTCCCAATCAGCTGTACGTGTATACTGAGACCGCCGCTTAGAGCAAATATCAAAATAGCACAAAGTTAGAAGGAAGAAAGAAAACGAGAGAAAAATGGAATGCATTTAAAACAACTACATTCAGACGTATTTAAACAAGTTGATGATGGAAAATGGGATTTGAATGGAAGGAAGGACATAGATAAAGACTAAAATAATTTAACATAGATGTAAATGCATTGCCATATTAATGAGAATCAGAAAGCCTAAAAATGCTTTTGTCAGCAAACACGACTTAAACACTGATTTTAAAACATAAGCTAGTTTGTAAAAATTTTATGAAGAACGACAAAACAAGGAGTGGAGGGAAAAATCATTTTACAGAAAATCGGCCAAGACAGTCAACTAAGCAGTCATTTTAAGGGCATTTAAATGAGAATTTTAAAAAAATGGAGGAATTCAAGAACAGAAGAAAATGGAAAAGATCTGCAAAGATTCGGTAATAGAACTTTTTCCACTCTAAAGCACAATAAAAACCACCACATTTGGGCTTTAACATCACATTTCCTGTCTGTGCTTGTTAACGGCGGTAGAAATGCCCTTAAAGAGAACAAACAAATGCAAATTGGGGAGATCTATACTGGAAACAAGAAAATTATGAGGGCATAGAGGGATTGAGTTATAAGATGTTTGAAGGAGGGGATGATAACAAAGATGTGGGGAAAAGTCTTGGATTTTATTGTGGAAAAAAAATGATGGTGGAAATAACTACCAGCTTAAATATCTACTTCCCCATCTATATTACTTTTCAATGAGAAATGATAAAATGGATCTTTTTTGATAAACCTGGAAATGCCTATGTATTTAGAATGAACTGAGCAGAACCAGAACAACATACATATATTATAAAGAAAAAAACTTCAAAAGATGGCAGAGGTATTTAATGTAATGACCAAACCTCTATTCCAAACAGCTTTATTCTTTAATGAAAATCATTTATTCATCAAGTGAATGAATCAAGGACATCCCCATTGACAGGATTAGTAATGAATAGACAATTTAAGACTATTTTTAAAAAATCTGAACTTTGGCAACATGAATTAAAATGAACCGTTACATTTACATAGTATAACAGAAGATTGTTCATGAAACTGTAAATCTCTATCATGTACAAATTTCCTTTCTTTAAAATATATAATATAGCCATCGTAATTTTCAAAGCTGCCCTACTTGTCTGTTAATCTTTTGGGTCTTCCATCTGTTTCCTATGCATTTAAAAAAAATGCTTCAATGACTTTTTTTCGTTTCCCTATTCTAACTCTTCCTTCAACTTCAACCCCCAATTAGAAAAAAAAAGAAAAACCAAGATCTTCTAGCAAATATGAATAGTCAAGCAAAACAAAATTGTATATTTACTGCATCCAAAAATGTGTGCCTTATTCTGCATCTTGGATCCATCACCTCTCTGTTAATACGTGTATATGCTTCATCATTAGTTGTTTGGAATAGAGGTTTGGTCATTACATTAAATACTTCTGAAGTCTTGAAGTTTTTTTCTTTATAATGTTATATATGTGAGTTGTTCTGATTCTGCTCAGTTCATTCTAAATACATAGGCATTTCCAGGTTTATCTAAAAAGATCCATTTTATCATTTCTTAGGACAATAAGCTCCAGTCAGGAGCTTAGACAAGGGGCCAGGGAGTTACCCTGAGGCATGTGCTTTTCATTGGAAACAGTTCAACTCCAGAACTGAAAGGGAGATTAGAGAAGGCAGGTGTTGCCCCTTTCCCTTTTTTACCTCCAGGGTTCTTCTGACATTGCAGCCTCTGACCGTGTTCAGTCCAGCATTGCCTCTCCTCTCCCCTGCATTTTATGGATTATTTTGTGGTTACTGTGTTATGAAAAATGAATATCATTAGAATTACTATTTTGTTATAAAGAATTGTATGCAGAAAAGTGTATTTTCAACAATCTCTAGTGAAAGATTAGTTTTCAGTGGTCATGGGAACCTAACACTCTATTTATTTCCCATAGTTTCAAAGTATCAACATTCGCTTTTTTTTTTTTTAAACTATGGTGCTATTTTCTAGGAATGTTACTCCCACAAAAGTTGAGAATTAACTCTATCTGGCATTTAAGAGTGTAGTTTTTCTTGAATGATGAAGTCAGAAACTAGATTGTAGGAAGTCAAAGACTCTCCCCTATCCTTAAAAAAGCCTTTCTTTGGTGCTACCGTCCTCTCAAGCTGTGGTCCTTTAACTCTCCTTTTCACTGTTAAAAGTCCTTGAAAGAGTAGTTCATATCTGTCACCTCTGCTTCCTCATTGCCACTCATTTCTTAACCCTTTGCAATCTAGCTTCTGAGCTAACCGCTCTACTGAAATTCCTCTCTGAAAGATTACCAATGAACTCTTTGCTAGATCTGATAGCCTGTTCTCAGTCTTCATCCTACTTGCCTTTGTTTTTGTTGACCATTTCCCTCCATTGATATTTTTTCTTCTCTTGGCTTCTCTTACACTGCCCTTTCCTGATTCTTCTTCTATCTTGGTCTCTTCTCCTGGTTCATCAGCTACCCATCTTCTAAGCATAAATATCCCACAAGATGTTATAGTTTCTATTTTGTTTTCTACATACTTTCTCCCATAGTGATTTCATCTTTTCTTATAGCTTCAGTTATTACCTGTCTAAATACATTCATACACTCATATATATGTACATATATGCACACAGAATAAATACATAAATATATTGTGCATATAAGGTGGTACCCCTTTCTGATTTGGGCAATCTTAACTGATTAAAAGGGGAAAAACTAAAGACAGTTGTGAGATAAATGTTGAGAAAGCAACCCAGAGAGAAAAAAATATTAACTCAGGGCAAATGTGGCTAAAGTATACTGTTTCCTAGCATCTAATTTATGTAGCGGTGTATGGGGTATTTAAGCACAACCAGCACTTTTGCATTGAGGGTTTGCTGAGCTCTTTTCAGGGCTGCCCATTCACCTTTGGTGTCTACCTGACACCTAACTCTCACCTGTGGCTCCAAGAAGCTGTAACATGTGGCCACACCCCTATAAAACCATCTTGGCAGATGACTGAGCCAGGTAACTGATAGGCCTCAAACCTGTGAGTGAGGTAGGGGGATATCTACCCCAAGTATGTGAAGACTTCCCACAGTGGAAACCAGACATTGAAGATTCCAGGGTCATTCACTTCATCCTAGGCTACTACTAGTCCTCCTGATTTTGTCTTGCCATTGGACTTCAATGACTCTGGAAGAGAGAATAAAGCTGAAGACTTTGTGCAACTCTGCCTCACTTAAATCCAATTTACTTGAAAGTTAAGACATCATCCTGTGATATCATTGGTCCTCTTTGAAAAGGAAGGACAACAGAATGACAATTTATGTATGACTGTTAAAGACTTTAATGTTGATAGCTGGGAAATTGTGATGTGTATAACTGTTTGGTGACTGAGACACACAAAGATGTTGCTATTTGTATCTTAGCCAGAAGAAGTGTGATTTTTGGTTTTTCACCTTGAGATAGAGATGAGTCATTTCACGTAAGAGTCTACTTTCAAGCAATAGGATTGGTCAAAACCAGACTTTTTTTTTAAATACCAAATATGTGTGTGTATTTGTATGTGTATATGTATATATACACATATTTTTACAATTACATGTAAAAATAATTTTTAATATTCATTTAAAAATTTTTTGAGTTCCAAATTCTCTCCCTTCTATTCCCCCCCCTTAAGAAGGCAAGCAATTGTGGGGTGTAAAATGCCAATAACAGGGAAACTGAGGCACATTTTCTCTGGGTAAGATAACAGTTTATTAGCAGTGACATGTATATATGTTAATAAAGTGGGTCACTCTGGCAACTTCAGTAAAACCAGGGACCCAGATGGCACAGAAAAAACACATTTTTTGGAGATAAAAAAAAAAGAGGAGGTTGGGGTCATTAGGAAGCCTTATGATTAGTTGTAGCTGGGGAAAGTGGGTTGGCTTTCAGGTGTGGTGATCACTCCTCTCTCTGACAATTACAGTAGGTTAATTGTTTTAAGGGCCCCAACTACCTTTAGCAATCTTGGCAAGAAAATCAGAACTACCCAAATCAGGACCACTTGGTTAGTTGTCGCCTTGGAGAAGATCAAACCACCCCGAGTTTTACAAGAACAGGCAAGGGCTGAAAAATTATCTTGGGGGGCAGTGTGGATACAGCTGAAGTTGTTTGTTTACAGAAAACAAATGAGTCTCAGGTTAACCTGATTAGCCAGCAAATGTTGGGGGGGGAAGAAGGGGACATGAGAGCATGAGCTATAGCATCACTTTCTTTTGACCACACCTGTAAGCCAATTCAGACTGGGACAGATCAAATTTTCAATTGAGGTGAGTTCAGGCAGACACTATCAACTCTAAAAATCAATGCAGCATAAATATTAATTATGTTATAAAACCAATAAAGTGGAAATCAGAGGGGATATTAATTTTTATCTCTCACATTCTCCCTTCTGATTTACTGAGAAAACAGTTTTCTCAATGGATCACTAACTAATATGTCAATTATAAAATGGCATCCAATCTACTGCACTCTCAGGAATGACTCACCAGGATACAAAAAGATCTGAAGGCACTAAGTACTTGATTAAGGACAGTTGATTTTGAAGGCTAGCTATAATGGGGGGAGAGAGGGAGGGGGGAGAGGAAGGGGGAG